ATAACCCCCCCCCCCCACAGACCTGTGTCTCCTCCTCCTCTTCCTCCTCTTCCTCCTCCCACTGCTCTCGGTTCCTCCCTCACAGTCGGTTCCTCCACCTCTGACACTCGTTCACTTTCACTTCACAGACTTTTTTTTTTTTTTGGTTCTTGTTCCTTTTTTGTGTTCTCACTAAATCACATCACAGGTTTAACCAGAGGTGGCGCTATTTTGACTCATTTACATTCACAGCCATACGAATTCAGTTATGTCTCCAAGAAAGTTCTGGAACTTTCTCCTTTTGCACAGTAGAACCATCAGTTCCAGGTCACTGTTTTTGACTGCAGCGGCCCAGACCAGGTGGACCAGGACCAGTACCAGGACCAGGACCAGGACCAGGTCAAACTGACCGACCAAACAGGAACTGGTTTCCAGGACCATGAACTGCAGAAGCCCTGGAGGTCCTTGTACCATAGTTTGAGAACCACTGTTGTGGACACATGAATTCTGGGAAATGTCATGTTGTGTTTTACTGTGTGTACCGGCCTTCAGTACTTCACACCTAGTACATGCACATACAGTAGTACTGTATGTGCATGTACTCTGTGGGTACTACATGTGGCTGAACACTTTTGAATTGTTTTTAACATGAAACGTCAGGAACTGTTTGGACGGAACTTTTCATTTAATTAATGATTTTATTTTTATTTATTATGAACGAAGAATAAACTGATGTGAGTTTTTATTGGTCTGTCAACTTTGTCCCCAGATCAACCCCCCCGCCCCGCCCCTCGGCCCACCCTCGATGTGACCTCATCTGCGCCCCCTACAGACTCCCCTGACTCCCTGCTACAGTAACTGTGTGTTCGTGGTACCATTCATACTGTCCCATAAACATTACAGTACAATCAGACTGTTGGGGGGGGGGGAGGGGGGCCTCAGTCAGGGGTAAATCACAGTGATTTACACTTCAACGGCTCAGGACTGGTCCAGTGTCCTGGGGGGGGGTGTTGGGGGTAATTCCCTTCGCTGCTCGTACCGTTGCCACGGCTCTAAGACGTGACGTTGACATGAATCCATACTTCATGAAAAAAGTACTACAGCTGCAGATACTACTGTATTATCAGTGTGACCCTGGTTCTAGGTCCAGGTCCAGGACCAGGTCCAGGACCAGGACTACTGAAGGTCTTGGTTGAGAGAAGAAATTCTTTACACGTAGTGATGGAATTATCACATTCTTATGTTGTAGTATTTTTCTTCTTCACTGCAGTTCTGGAAGGTACTATGAAGTATATCTACGTATCTGACAGCAGACGTCGCAGTGAAGTAAAACTGTTGTGACGTCACGTGATGAAGGTCGGGAGGTTTGGGACTTGAACACACACTGTCCTGCACTGGAGACCTGACACAGTAACAACTGCAGTATTTGCTCCAGATACTTCACCAAGTACTTCAATGTAGACACTACTCTATAAAGTCTGATCTGACGCAGACCCTGGTTCCTAATAAGGTGGAGGTCTGGACTGTGTTGAGACCGGTCCATGTATGGACAGCCAACGTGTGTGTGTGTGTGTTGGTCTCCACAAAGGCGTCAATAAGACAACAGTCGGTTAAAACTGTATCTTTATTTTCAAATAATGTAGAGTTAGAAATACTTTGGTCCGACCTCAGAGGTCAGTCCTGGTCCGACCTCAGAGGTCAGTCCTGGTCCGACCTCAGAGGTCAGTCCTGGTCCGACCTCAGAGGTCAGTCCATGTTTTTCTCACTTTCTCATTGTTTTTTAAGTTCTGACGAAGGCGTCTGTTCCCACTGGGCTGAGTGGAGTTTACTACATGTCAGAATGAAACTCTTCATCCTCCTCCTCCTCCTCTGATGATGATGATGATGATGATGATGACACCTCACAGATACAGGGTGAGTCCGAGCCTCAGACCTTTTATTATTCAGGTTTCTGTTGTCAACAAACTGAGACTGAAGCTCATCGACAGGTTCTGACCCAGAACCATCTGAGTTTTTATATTCCTGAATGAACCTTTAATTCAACTGTATTTTGATAAGGTCAGACAGAGAAGCAGGTTGTGACCTGGGGTTAAAGGTCATGCCACAGAAGAAGAAGAGAGCAGACTGAGCCGTGGAGGAAATGGACAGTTTTTATTTATTTGTCTCAGAACTTTTCGACTCATTCTGTTTACAGTAGTTTAAAACAGAGGAATAACAAACGGACTGAAGCTGTGGTACGATGTAAACAGTTTTGTTTTTTTACAAAAGTTATCTGTGTATTGAAAAATAATTCAGTATCTAAAGTCAGCTGACCTGATCTTCATCTACGATGACATCACAGCTCCTCCTCCTCACTGTTCTGCAGTAGAACGTCTGGTGTCAGGCTGGTTCTACGTTCTCGGTGTCAGAGTATCAAAAACTACGGCTAAATCAGCTGCTCTACCCAGAGGTCTTCAAAATATTACAGTTTTTAAAGTGCAAGAAAAAAAAATCGTAGTGAAAACAGTTGGGGGGGGCTGGCAGGAGCCAATCACAGGAGGTGTGTGTGGGGGGGGGAGGGGGCTCCAGTCCATCAGAGGGATTCAGAGACAACATTCACACCTATGGTCAGTTTAGAGTGAACGTTAACGTCGTCTCCAAACCCTCTGGTTTCAGGACTGTAGTGGAACTGGACGGAACTTCAAACAGACAGAACAGCACCGAGAGCCGGGACTCGAACCAGCCACCTTCCTGCTGTAAGGCAAGAGCACTAACCACTCCTTCATGTATGATACAGAAATCCCACTTTTCTTTTTCGTTTCAAATTGAGAAACGTGACTTTTTTCTGTGCATTGGAGCGTGTGGCTCTCCTTCCCTGGCCAGTAGGTGGCGCTGTTCAATGATCCACGTTGTTTGCTTAGTTATGGGGCGCTAGTATCTCATTTGTTAGCTGTGTTTACGGATCGGAATCAGGGTGTTGTGCTATTGGTGAGTTATCAGCCCTGTGTTAGCGCAGTAGCATTTCAATTTGAAGTCAAGCTAACCCTGCTAACACGTGGTCTCTGGACCAGGACGACGTTGGACTGAGTCGATGTGTCCAATTACGGTATAGTACTGTTTACTCTGTGTCTGTTTTATGAGGAAATCCTTGGAAAAGTGCAGTCCCTCTGAAGGACCCCTGACCCTTGACCCTTGTTGAAAATCAACAGGAGGGAAACACTGAGAGGGGGCAGAAACAAGACTAAATACCCCTGACCCATTTCTTTGTGGAGGTATGTTGGTAGAGGTACACAGTACTCACAGTACATGGTACTGTGAGTTCCACCACAGTCGTGTGTTTAGAGAACATGAAGTTAATGTTTAGAAATCGCTAAAAAATCAACCAACCAGATTCCTCGTTGCTTCGGTGAACTGTAGTCGACACCGACGCGTTCTGTCTGGAAGAAGTTCTGATCTGAGACCAGTGTCAACTACAGCATCAAGTGTAACATCCACAATATTAATAACGTAAAAAAGAAGAAAAACAAAAACAAAGACGTTCTCCGTAGAAACGGCCAGAACCACAGACCACTACAGTGTAAACCTAGCATGATCAGCGTTAGCAAACACGACGGCACAGAAAGCATCGCAACTTTAATCCTCTCACAGAGAGCGCTCACATTGTTGTCTCCACAATGGTGTGGGGGGGCTTGGTGGAGCCGTTGTTCCCGTTGGGGTCCAGCGTCTGCGTCAGTTCGCTGCCGTTCATGTTGTACTCTTTAGGGCGGGAACTCACGCCTGAACTGGCCGGTGCTGCCACAGCTTTGATCCTCTGGGGGGCAGAAGAACAATCGTCCGTCACAGGGTCATGGTGATGTGGAGTGACAGAGGTCAGAGGTCACAGCCCACCTGCCCACTCATTAGTATTAATTATAATTGTTTTTAACCATGGAAAAACTGTCATATCTGAGCATCATCAGCCGAAAAAAAACGTTTTATAAAATCAGTCTCAGTTCTAAAACTGTTGTTGGTTTAGTTTAGTTATAGACGAGAAAATATCAAGTTATTTTTTCAAACAGTGAGGGTTTGGTTGGGGGGGGGTCATCAGCAGTTAACCCCTCAAAGACCATCGTGAAGTTACCCCGTGGTTTTACTGGATCAAATCCTTCAGAGATTCTACCTTTCTTTTTTCACTGTTTTCACTCTTCTCTGCAGTGATCTGGCGCCCCCCAGAGGACAACACGTCTATGCGTCCTGGATCCCACTCCTGACCCCTAACCCTCACCTCAATCAGTGGTCCCTCGGACTGCAGGATCTTGATGACCATCACCAGTGGGATGCAGACCATGGAGGCCAAGGCCAGACACCAGCCCACTCCGATGGCCCAGTCGGGGTACTCGTACACCTTGTTGTAGGTCAGGGGCTTGTACTTCACCAGGGAGAAGACGAAACATCCCTGAGGAAACAAACACGTCTGAGTGACCTGGACCTGAGGGGGCGCTGACCTGCTCTCCACCACGGACGCGGCGCTCAGTCGTTACCATGCAGAGGACGGGCGTGATGACGGTCCAGCTCCACTTCATCCAGGGGTTCGGTCTGTAGCCGATCATGTCTTCAATAGCGTCGTAGAAATTGTCCACTCCTGCGGGAACCACGAGCCGCGTGAGTGATCCGTGACAGTGGGAAGAACAGGAAGTCCGGGAGATGGACTTCCTGTTGTTTACAGACACAAACCTAGGTCTAGAACTGTTTTCCCTGGAACCTGCCCCGGGGCAAACTCTGGGTCAGAGTTTGTATCTGCCTTCATGTTGACTTTAGCCATTATCAGGGGAGGTGTGGGGGGGTATGAGGGGGGGGGTCACAATCGTTCAATATTGAACATAAAACAACATCAGACCCAGTTAAATAAACACGACTATTTTGTCCAATATAAGGGTCAGGGGCTCCACACGGTCGCAGCTTCTATCGGTACTGAGTTCTGACCGCCGACATTTCTTGGGGGAAAAAACCGGGCCACACCCCCAGACGTGGGGTGCTGTCCACTTACCATACACCCAGGCTACAGCGATGCATTCAAAGAACGCCACCCACAGGAGGCACACCCCGCTGGCCGCGTAGTAGTCGAAGAGCTGGAACACGTACATGCCCCCCTGGAAACACAGGGCCGTGAATCACAGAGACAGAGGAGAGG